CTACTGTATTTCCATAGATAATTCATACTGTATCATGTGTATTCATAGAACATGTTCTAGGCCTATTTAATTAATTGCATATTGTTAATATTTCTCAATACCCTGCACTTCGTGTAGATATAATTACAATTATCATTGTTATTCCTTCTACATATTCATGTTTCCTGCACGTTCATGGAGGAATAAGCAACTTAATTACATTTTGAACAATATATCATTTTCGCAGTAGACCTACATTTGTCTATTCCCATGATTTAAAATAATCTTACGAATTGTAATTTGGTCAATGCTACCACATTCTGTGTCCAGATATATCATTTTTAACCTGGATGTTTTTTTTTCTGTGCCCACTCTTTAGCATCATGTACAGAGCATAGGCCTTTATTATCTATATTTTTTCTTGAGCCATAATAAGAATATGATGCCCTGTAAGGTCATATTCTTTAAAAAAAAAATATCCTATTAGTATTATATATGGGAGAGTACCTCATGAACATTACTCACACACCCTCAAGCCTGCTATGGGGATATATTCATGCCACGAAACTTAGAATATGGAATATAGTGTACGCTGGGATCAAATATTCCAATATAGATAACTTTAGTAAATGTACGATGTACAGTATATATTGTACTACATATTTTCATAAGAACAACTTAGTTATATTTAGGTGCCATCATTTTCAAAATTTGTTCACCTTGGCCCAACATATGGGGCAGAGGTGGGTATATCTCTAGTCCCCACTAACTTTAAATCTTTGTCTGCCAATAGACAGGATGGGGAGTGGTGGTGACTATACAGGTTTGCCAGCTTGTATTTCCAGGCATCCAGATGTACCATATTTCCAACATAAACTCTATCTCCATGGTAATTTTATTTGTTTGAGGGGAGGGGCTAGCGGCTCTACAAATTGTCACCTAAAAGGAGCGTGAGGAGCAACCCTATCCGCAAGGTTGACTGTAATAAATTGGCAACAAGTGTGGACGTAGAGGAAGTATATAGCATGACAATCAATGTTGAAAATGCGTATCTGTCCCTCTGCAATGCAATTAAGGACTCATGCATCAAATCATGCAAACGAAAATCTTGACCGTGGTTTGATAAAAGTGCTTCGAACTAAAGGTCAAAACGCGACGCTCGTACTTTCCAATAAAGAAAAACAAGAGTAAAATACTCTTATCTATTAATTCACAACTTGTGAAGAGGCAGAAAAAACATAGGAGAAGCAAGTATTACGGCAGATTGAAAAGGCTGAAGCGAGTACCAACGATTTCTGGTCACTGTGGAAAACAAGAAGAGCCAGATGCGGAGGAACCCAAGTGTCCCCGGAAATGTTATTTGACCACTTCAGTGCTTTACTTCATTCTGAGAATCCACCGATCTTGCCTTACTCCGGTAACTTGTCGACAGATGACGATTCTATTTCGAGGCCCATCGATGAGTCTGAAGTTTCAATTGCAATAGGCCGTGGGAAAGCGGGTAATGCTGCCGGGCCGAACGGCATTACATGTGATGTAAGGAAAAACTGTAGTGAGATCTTAGTAACTCCAATAACTGTAATTTTAAACTTCTGTTTCCAAAACAGCTGTTGCCCATCTGATTGGTTGATTAGTTACTTATTGCCAATATATAAGGGTAAAAGGGTTTTCACATCCAGACTCATATAGGGGCATAGCATTATCATCGTGTGTTCTAAAATGCTACACATATATACTGAGAAGACGTATGTTAAACTGGGCAGAAACCCATGGGATCCTACCAGCACAACGTCGCTTCCGAAGCAACCGATCCACTGAAACCGCTGTCAAAGAGCTTAATATGCTAATGAATAACACCTTAGCTAGTCCCAAGTGTCCACTGCATGTGGCATTTGTGGATTTTAAAAAGGCATTTGACAGCGTGGACAGGGAAAAGTTGCTAGGATTGCATTCAAAGATAATGAAAGCGTTATGGTTTCTTCTGAGAGAAAATTACATTAAAATCCTAACAAATAATGTATTGAGTGAAGTAGTTACCACAGAATATTGGCCTGGCCCAAGGTGAGTGCCTCTCACCTCTCCTTTATATTCTCTTCGCACATGATCTTCCCTTATATTGTTGAATCACCGGGCAACATCAATACTTTATAGTATACTGATGATTTGGCCATCTGTACGAGAGAAGTTGATCCGTTACAAAAATCTATAAATCTGCTATACAATTATTGCGAGAGTAATGGACTGAATATTAATGTCAGTAAAACGAAGATAGTTAAATTCCGTAGAGGTGGGCGCCTTAGAGCCCGGGACAGTGTTCTTTGTGGCTGCTCAAACATTAAATTTGTCTCTGAATTCACATATTTAGGTGTTGTGTTTAAAACTAATGGGGGGGGGGTGTTATAAAGGGCATCTATAGTATCTAAAAAAGAAAGGAATTTCTGCCTGTGCGAAGATTGCAATTATACCCCTTGAAAACATGTCTCTGGCCTCAATAGAGAGACTTTTTTTTACTGTAGTTTTACCCTCTGCAACTTAAAGCGTTTGTACCCACAAATGAATAGTGCTAATTTTGAGTACATCAGTCTTGTGCAATGCCGTCTATTAAAGCATTGGTGCGGTGTTTCTAAATTTAGTTCCAACTCTCATCTCCTCGATGAATCTGGTTAGGTGGGTGCTGGAGACATTCTCCAGGATTATTTTAGACTTAATACACCTTTTCCATCGCTTATTCGTGACGGCATTCAGACCCCCTCCAAATGTGACCCTGTTGCGTGGGCCAATGAGAAAAACGCTTGGACGGTGGATAGGTACGGCTTACCATAACCTTTGGTGCAGCATAGCAAATTGTTACCACCTTAACAATGCTTGCTCTTGTAAGCTGTGTGGTAAATCCGTGAACCTCACCAGGCAACATCTACAGGTATGCCCTTGGGTGACACTGGATGTTGGGGTACACTTAAACTTGAACGCCTACTTTATCATATTAAGTAAAAAATAAATAAAAACAAATAATAATAATAATAATAATAATAATAATAATAATAATAATAATAATAATAAGTAGAACAGAAACTAAACAAACATTTACAAATAATAAGGTTTGTTGATGGTATACCTGGTGGTACTTGTGCGTGCCAGGCATGTGTTACTTGTTGGGCCATGTGGGCCTTGTATTAAATTTTTGAATAAAGTGTGCTACATACAAATATGTTTTTTTTAAACATGTTCATCCACAATTACCACCTCACTCCTTCCATATACTCTAGGTATATAGATGATATCTTATTTTTTATCTGGCCTCATCAATGAATTTGCACAAAGTAAATATCCCATCAAAATAATAAAGAAATACATGGCCAAAACATCCAACAAAACCCGAGATCAACTTCTACAATACAACCCCCAAAAACCTATGGTTTTCAGCCAGTGACAGCACTCAACTCCACCATCTATCCAACCAATTCAAAGACGACTTCCAAACTGTCCAAAATAATATACCTGAAATTGAAGCTTTCAAAGAACTACAAGTCTTGGCTAGAAGACAACTCCCCAACTTCAAATCTTTACTCACATCTTCCAATCTTCCCTCATGCCGTCTCCAACCAGGTAACCAACACTGCGGTATCCCAGATGCAATGCTTGCTATATCCTCCTAACAGACATTCTCATCTATGTACTCAACACCAAAATCACCATCAGACCCTTCACTCATTTGCAATTCCCATAAAATCACATATCTCATATGGTGCACCGTATGTAAAGGGGTATGTTATGTCGAAGAAAGTTGCTGCACATTTAAACAAATGATGGAATATCTCAAAAGCTCTATAAGAAGCAAATATAATCTTCCTTTAGCTAAACACTTTCACAGATCTAGACACACCATCAATAATGATTATTAGATGCATCATTATAGAAAACAACTTCAGGTCTCTCAACGAAAAGAAGATGTGCAGAAATTAAATGGATTTTGAAACTTAAGACTCATAAAATAGGAGCTAATAAGGACCTATGTTTTCCTTGAGGTTTTATATTTAACAATTATTTAATAATGTTTCAAGATTCTATAGAACAATACACGTTTTTTACTCCTCTACTTTATATTCCTCTAATTTATAATAGGCCTATATTTATACATATATTACTGTCTGATTTATCTATCAGTCTTCGCTAATTTCTTTCATGATTATTTTGATGGCTTATACCATTCTCATGGTTTAATTATTATAGTCCATTCGATTATTCTCTACAGTACTTAGATTTGAATGTTCCACTTCATTCAAGGCTTGATTCATGGTGACTTACATTGTTTATGTACAGTAGGTAGCTACACCCATTGTATAAGCATAGTATCCATCGTTGTTTACATGTATACTGTTTGCTGTAATGTATATCTTTAGCTCGTGCGTTGATGAAGGTATGAGGTTACACCAAATATTTCGTAGGAATAAAATCAATGTCTCAGTTATGTCAAAGTGTCTTGCAGCACTTTTATGTCTGTTTTAACCATTCTATAACCGAGGCATACGTGGAACCGCATAAAATGCATCATTTTAATATTGATAATAATGGTCACTATGTGTGATATATATACACTATATATATAGTATATATAGTATATATATAGTACTTCAGACAGTACTGTTTTGATCTTGTCAGAACTCATCAGTGCAGCTCATGATTTCAAGAATGCAACACACGACTGACACAAAACATGGCTTGGGTTAGTCGTGTGTGACTTGGTACACTGATTATGAATACAAGAGTGAAAAAACCCAAAAATGAGTGTGCTGTGCAAAAGACAAAATGATATCGTGTATAAGAGACAGGTCTCCCGGTGTACTGCCCAGTCACAACCAGAGAAAGGACCCCGCTGGAAATACATAAATACATTTTTCCAGATTTTCGTGGTTTACTTGGCGTTTACACCGAATAATCCATCCATTCTACTATCCAAACATGGTGTTTATTAACCTCTTTTTGAACACTGTAATTACAAAAAAAAATTCACAACCTTTTACCTTGTAAGATTTTTATCAACAAAATCTGTAATCTGTGATCTTGAATCAAGAATTCCTCAGTAACGGTTGCATTAGTTTTCCATTAGAAGCAGTACACAACTTTTTGGTTACTTAAAAATCGCTCAAGATGAATTTTTAAATAAACATGAACTGCTTTTATCTAAAAAGTTTTTGTTTTGGCTAAATTTCAGTCGACAAATCTTCAATATACAAGAACACCTACCGGTACTACAAAAATTCAAAGAAAAATACTCATATCAACAACCTAATTGTTTGTCTGCTATATCAAGGCCTAAATCACTGGTTGACTTCTCCGCAAGTCTAATGGATAAACAGAATTATGACAGCAAAATATTATGATCAGAAAAAGCAATAATTAACATATGTATAGCTGCAGTAGGCCAATCACTGACAGTGTTGTAAAATAACTGTAAAAGTAGCAGAGACTGAGTGGTTTGAACCCTTTTTTTGCATGGGAACTTAAATTTTAACTATGGTAAAACATTAATGGCGCTAGGATTTGTTTGAGGGGTCTGATGTCCCCGACGAAAAGGCCATTTTCCCGACGAAAGCAAGAGGCCAGGGACAGCTTTAGAGGGGTTTCAGGGGTGACGTTTTCTGAAAGTCAGATAATTTAGTGATTTGAAAGGTATATTTAATCGATTTTTATTTAATCGACATTTTGTGAAAATTACATTTTATTTTCTCACCGACAAATTGCATTTTTCCCCAACCGGGCGTGTTTCTTGTGTTTATTCATTGAGAAACCCATTCAATTTCATTTATAGTTATGTCATTACCAAGAAATTTTTAACATTTTGCCGATCTTGCAAATAACTATCTAGTGGTGGATCTCTGAGGTAAAATTGGCGGCCCAACCTCTCTGTACATAGGCCTACCTAATGTATCAGAACAATTATGCAAATTCCTTCTCAATGCTGTGCTCAACTCATGCAAAATAATATATTTATTATCTTATCTTTTAGTTTTTAATATGTTTTAATAATTTAATATTTTGAATTTAAACCATATTTTAATAATGTCTTTTTAAGTGTATCTTTAACTTGCAAAACGAATTTCATTGTGCAGCTGTTTATTGTTGACAATAAAATATTCTTGATTCTTGATTCCAAAGTATTTCATGTAAATATTGAAACCAGATGATTGTTTCGATCGATCTTACTGTCAATATTTTGAGTGATAATAGCAACTTTCCTCCGTTTCACGTGTTAAGCTCTTGTACCAACATTTGGGTTCAAATTGTAAGTTTTGACAAAAGTACGATGACACTTGATGTTCCCTTACCACACTATTCTGCGGTTTGATGAATAGCATGTCAACTTCTAGGAATTTAGGGACAGTTTCTTAAGCCAAATAAAAATAGACATATATTCTGTACGGTTAGGATATTGTGTAGGCCTAATTACTGTAATACACGAAAAGTAAAATTGTACCACAAATTCAAGGTATTGTATAGGCCTACTAAGCAGTGGCGTAACGACGACTCATGGGGGCCGTGGCCGAGAAAAAGTTGGGGCCCCTTGCATATCAGTAAAGTATTTTCTTTCACGAGGTAATCTCCCAAGCAATGCCGTAGCCAGCTATTGGGACAGTTGGGACAGTCCCACACAATTTTTCTATTTGGTCCACAAAGAATGGGTCAAAATTTTTCAAAAATTGGTCTAAATTAAGCTGTTTTAGCACAAAATGAGTCCTGTTTCGAAAAATGGCTCCAGATTTCTCATATTTTGCGTAAAATGGGTCAACTTTTAAAAAAATGGGTCCAGATTTTTCAAATTTTTGCGTTAAATGGGCCCACTTTTAAGAAAATTTGTCCACATTATTTGAATTTACGCGTAAAGTGGGTCCACACTGATATTGTCCCGCACTGTTTAAACATCCTGGCTACGGCGTTGCTCCCAAGAGATAATTGTTTAGGCTGAAAAGATTGTTTAATTATTAGGCGATATCGTTTGACTATTTAACGATATAATCAACTAATATTTTGCACACACATTCTTAATTTGAAGATTTGTGTGTAACGTATAAATTAGGTCTATGCATGTGCGTACGCGCATTTCATTAGCGTGAATAGGTTACATGTTTAATCACATTGTATTCATAAGTTCCAAAGAAGCTTTACCAATATAAAAAGCATTATCAAACAATTCTTTAATCAGTTTTGACAAAAGTACGATGACACTTGATGTTCCCTTATACCACACTATTCTGCGGTTTGATGAATAGCATGTCAACTTCTAAGAATTTAGGGACAGTTTCTTAGGCCAAATAAAAATAGACATATATTCTGTACGGTTGGATGTGTACCGTAAACTGTACTACTAGGATATTTTGTAGGCCTAATTACTGTAATACACGAAAAGTAAAATTGTACCACAAATTCAAGGAATGGTATAGGCCTACTAAGCAGTGGCGTAACGAAGACTCATGGGGCCGTGGCCGAGAAAAAGTTGGGGCCCCTTGCATATCAGTAAAGTATTTTCTTTCACGAGGTAATCTCCCAAGCAATGCCGTAGCCAGCTATTGGGACAGTCCACACAATTTTTCTATTGGGTCCACAAAGAATGGGTCAAAATTTTTCAAAAATTGGTCTAAATTATGCTGTTTTAGCACAAAATGAGTCCTGTTTCGAAAAATGGCTCCAGATTTCTCATATTTTGCGTAAAATGGGTCAACTTTTAAAAAAATGGGTCCAGATTTTTCATATTTTTGCGTTAAATGGGCCCACCTTTAAGAAAATTTGTCCACATTATTTGAATTTACGCGTAAAGTGGGTCCACACTGATATTGCCCCGCACTGTTTAAACATCCTGGCTACGGCATTGCTCCCAAGAGATAATTGTTTAGGCTGAAAAGATTGTTTAATTATTAGGCGATATCGTTTGACTATTTAACGATATAATCAACTAATATTTTGCACACACATTCTTAATTTGAAGATTTGTGTGTAACGTATAAATTAGGTCTATGCATATGCGTACGCGCATTTCATTAGCGTGAATAGGTTACATGTTTAATCACATTGTATTCATAAGTTCCAAAGAAGCTTTACCAATATAAAAAGCATTATCAAACAATTCTTTAATCAGTTTTGACAAAAGTACGATGACACTTGATGTTCCCTTACCACACTATTCTGTGGTTTGATGGGACAGTTTCTATGCATATGCGTACGCGCATTTCATTAGCGTGAATATGTTACATGTTTAATCACATTGTATTTATAAGTTCCAAAGAAGCTTTACCAATATAAAAAGCATTATCAAACAATTCTTTAATCAGTCGTCATCAGGGGTGGATCAGGGAGCACATGGGTTAACTCACCCCCCCCCCCCTCCAAAAAAAAAGGAGAAGAAAAAAAGTCCAAAGTGGGAGAGCACGTTACCGTAGGCCTCTCCAAAACAAGCTAATTTTCGATTTAAATTCCATCAGTTTCTATGGTATTAAGCATTTTTAAATAAAAATCTCAACACCACTGCCCTCCCCCCTCCCCTGCTTCGCACGTCGTCGCATGGCCCCTACTCTTTTTTTTTCTAGATGCGCCTGATTATTTCTGTAAGGTACCATTCCAAAATATAAATTGTACTGTAGGCCTACCCTATTACCACTATATATATATATATATAAAAAAAAACAGAGACAGGCAAAATTTTACTTTACCCATTATAGTTGTAGGTCTACGACTCTGGATCACCATTTTTCGGGTCGTCTAATAGGCTTGAAAATACAAACATAAAGACGGTTGGGTAACCAAATTGATTGAGTGTTTGATTAAATTGTCAATTCGATACCACGAATTATGTTGCTCTGAAATATAATATTATTTTACTTTGACATTGCTTTCACACTTAATCGTAGCACATCGTATTATTAAAATATTGGCAGTGGTGTAGGGATGGGCAGTGCAGGCGGGTGCAAAGTTAATTTTACATTTAAGTTGGTAGTCCCAATCTTGAGTCTTGAAATGAAACATTAACATGGAAAACAAATTTAAGAAAGTTTGTAGAACACTTACAGTACTTACAGATAATTTTCTACTATATTTATGGAACCAGATGAAATTCTTTGAGACTATAATCATAGAGTTTTATTATTACGATGAAAATATTATTTGATCGTAGCTTTTTAACGACTGGGTATGAATAATTACTAAACGAACAACATGCAGGTGTTTTTTTTTCTCATTGTATTACAGTAGGGCCCAATGTAATTGCTTTTTATAGTGCTTTTTAAAATTTAAGCATGATGCTACGATATAACTGAGGGATTCTAAATAATTATTTACAATTCAATGAGCATTCTGCTTCAGTCTGAAACGATCAATATTGAATGTACAGTGAGTTGATTGTGTTCATTTTCTCATGACAGGCCTATATTTCATATTGTTACATCGTTTTAATAGTCAGCAATTTATTTTTCAATTAAATAAGAAGTATAGAGTAAAGTCAATTATTCATAAGGATTCCAGCTCTGTTATTGGTCACCATATTAAATATTTTTAATAGCAAATTATTCATGAAAAAAAATGACTTGAAATTGTGTGGCCAAGGTTGATGAGCTAAATTATATAGCATCACCATAATAGGAGGGATAGGTTTAAAAAAAAAGCACTTCGTAAAATGAATTTTTCGCATATAATCTGTGGCCGTTTGCGGTCTCTTGTCCCGGTCCCCCAGTCATAGGCATACGGCCATGATCAACGCTTCAAATCAAAATCCTGACAGATAATGTTTTTCCTGGACGTTTGAGGCATGGCTATTGGTGGCGCTATAGATTCAAAATATCACCTTTCTGATTCGGCAATAAATCATGAATATATAATTAGTAATTTCTAATTGTCAAAGCTATTTCTATACAATAATTGCCTTTTGTGTTCGTAGCGGCGAACACACACAGGCAAAATAAAGGAAGAGACAAGAAAAACCATCATCGGATTGAAATTGTCATTTATTGTAGTGACGAAAATAAAACATGTTTAGTTAAAGCACTTGCCTTGATAATACAATACAACAACTAAATACAGCCATTTACTGTCTTATAACAATTACAGATATAATAAAATAAAATTGTTATCCTTAACTACGTAAGTTCATACTAAAACAATTTGTTATCCATAGACATAGTCAATTAACACGCATACAAAATTTTATTAACTTGAAAACGGCTAATACAAGAATGAATTTACTATTGAATACTA